ATATTTTTTTTTTTTATACATAACTGCAATATGCTGTTTCTCATTGGCAATTGAATAAAATACAGGGAATATATTTGTGTTTTAATTCACAATTAGAACAGCTGTTCACTTTGACTTTATCCTATATAATTTCTGTTTAGAACATGGTGTTATCTGTTCTGACATACTGTGTTAAAGCATTTGTAAATTTGACTGTAAAATTACATTTTTTTGTTCTTAGTTGTGCTTGTGTGTAAAAGAAGTTAAAGCATTTTAAATTTGTGTTAACTGGATGCATTTTGTGTCAAAACAACAAGAAATGTGTTAATTGTATAGCCTACGAAGACGGATGTTGTGCTAACTGTGTTAAGAGTTTAGGAAAATTGTTAAATGTATTGATAAAAGTGTCATAGCCATTGTAAAAAAACTGTAATAATGTGTATTTATTATTGTGTAGACTTTCATGTCAGTGAGATGAGCCAGAGGCTTAGCACAGCTGAATAATCTCTTGCTTTAAAAAGAGATTTAGATTTCCTTGTTCTGTTAGTTGTCCTATTAGCAGTTTTGCTTCCAATTATTTTGACATTTCTGCTTTCACAGTGCTTGTGACATGGCCTTCAATTATAATGAATGACTAAGCCAGTCAAAGCGCCAGATGAGGTTCTCTAATTCAAAACCAAGTTCAATTCAACCAGCAAATAATATGATTATCCTATTGTGAACAATTCTTAGCCTATAGGGACTTAGTCTTATTGTTTTTTGGCAGACCAAAAGGAAGGGGAAAAACAGCATCTAATTGTTTGAATGAAGTTATTAGCACATTTACAGCTACAAAATAGACATTTTTGTACGCTTTGATGTGGAAATGTACAGTTTGCAACAACATATTCAATTCAATTCAACAGTTTGGGACAACATATTGACACAATTAAAATATAACAATTTACTGCTAAAATGTTCAATATTTACAAATGCATCAGGGAGAAATTGGTATCAATGCACTCATATAGTTGTAGTGATTAATTATATAAAGCTTTTTAGATTCTTTAACCCCATCCAACGTAAACACAACCACTTACAGTGAAAATGCAATAGACCAAAATTTGAAAACGAGAATTTTACAAGCAATACACAATCAATATCTATACCACTACATGTACACCACACACAAAAAAAACTACCTCTAACAATGGACATTTAAAAATAAATAACAGAAATAAAAGCATGACAGGCAACATGTTGTAAAATCTGTCAAATTTGGCATCTCATGATCATGTATAAGAGACGGTCTAATTTTGGGAAATGGAAAGATTCATGGCTATAACACTTGGAGACTGAATAATAGTTGATTTGGATCATATGTGCTTTTTTTATAGCCTTAAAATCCACTGATTATTTGTCAGTAAACTATTATTGTTTGTGGATGCCATAAATGAGTAAAACTACCAGAGTGCTATACCTCCTGGCCACACTGCATTTTCTCTAAAACAATTTTGTGCATTAGCCAACAAACTGTTGAAATGCTATCCCCTCACCCAACCATACCCCTAAACCCAATCATCAAGGGTGTAATCTACATTTGTACATTTTAGAATACTTCATTCTGTTTGATTTGTGAGCCATTTTCTTTACTGTTATTGTTATATGTGTGGGGACTATTTGAATATAAGATAAAGACACACATACAGCTGAAATCAGAACGATTAGGCCGCCTGAATTATAAGCCACCCCCCCCCCCCCACTTTTTTTTTGTTTTGTTCGGATGACAGTAAACATTTTTTTACTAGATATTTTTCAAGACACTTTTACACAGCTTAAAGTAACATTTAAAGGCTTAATGTGGTTAATTAGGCCAGCTAGGCAGGTTAGGGTAATTAGGCTAGTTATTGTATAATGATGGTTTGTGTTTAAAAAATTAAAAAGTGCTTTTATTCTAGTCGAAATCAAACAAATGAGACATTCTCCAGAAGAAAAAATATTATCAGACATACTGTGAAAATGGAGAGGCAGTGGCGCAGTAGGTAGTGCTGTCGCCTCACAGCAAGAAGGTTGCTGGGTCGCTAGTTCGAACCTCAGCTCATTTGGCGTTTCTGTGTGGAGTTTGCATGTTCTCCCTGCCTTCACATGGGTTTCCTCCGGGTGCTCCAGTTTCCCCCACAGTCCAAAGACATGCGGTACAGGTGAAATGGGTAGGCTAAATTGTCCATAGTGTATGAGTGTGTGTGTGTGAATGTGTGTGTGGATGTTTCCCAGAGATGGGTTGTGGCTGGAAGGGCATCCGCTGCATAAACACTTGCTGGATAAGTTGGCGGTTCATTCCGCTGTGGCGACCCCGGATTAATAAAGGGACTAAGCCGACAAGAAAATGAATGAATGAATGAATGAATAAATAAATTATGTGAAAATTCCCTTGTCTATAAATGGACATACACAAAGTAGGTTAGAGCCAATAAGCATCCAATTTCTCTGAAATAAGACCTGTTCAACTTAAAATAGTTGTTGATTATTTCTTAAAAGAAAATAAAACCTCCATAAATGTTCTATGTAAAGACAATAAAAAATAACAATGGGATATGATGACAAATATAAACAAACAAACAAACAAATAAATAAATAAATAAAAATGACTCACCCTTTCTTTACCCTTGACTTGTTTCATGTTTTTATCTTATACAAAACAAGATATTTAAAAAAATGCTGGAAACCAGTAGCCTCTAATATCCACAGCAGAAAAAAAGTTTAGTAGGTACCAGCACTTAAAAATCTGTAAAATCAATATATATATATATATATACAGTTTAAAAAGAAAAAAAGAAGCTCAAAAGGATGTACAAGTGGATGGTAAAATGTTAAATGGCTTTAGTGTGTGCTATCCCTTTAACAAGAGTCATTATACTTAAGTATTCTGTAAAATTATATTGTATATTTGTTCATCATCTGTCAAGCTATCTTGAGGAGATTTGCTTAACCAATCTGTCTACCATTTTGTGCACATCAATTGTGCATAACCTGATCTTCAAGCAGTTCTGGTTAGCAGAACCTCTAGGTTTAAGGATATAACGACTTTATGCAGTATGAGGTAAAAATAAACAACATAAGCATCAGACATCACCTTTGCCATAGAGTTATTGAATGTAATATAAAACTAATGTCACCCATTTCCGTGGGCTATTTAGAGTATGATGAATGTACAGATTTTTCCTACATCAAGAAGCATTTATCAGTAGGAGCATCATTTCAGCTGTGTTAACATGACGCTTGATACAAAGTGAAGTGCCGGCACTGTCAACAAAGAGCAGAGCATTTCTAAATGAAATGATATAACCTCCTGCTGGGTGTTGATCTTCATTTTGGGCGTCCAGGGTTTGAGTCTCTTTAGATGGCTTTGCCTTATGATTCACAATTTAAGCAGATGTTATTCACTTGGACTCTTCAGCAGGTGTTAAATCCTCTCATATTGTTTCAAAGTGTGTGGATTCTGAAATTACATTCCCTCTTGAAATGGCCATTCAGAGGAACCCTGGGGTCTGCACACTGATCACAAGCCACGCTGAAGGAAATCTTAATCAGTGTTGCACCAAACAAAACCCTTAAGCTCTGTCAGTGGTCTTGTTGGGTTCTGAATGAGTGTTTGTGTTTTTATTAATAGCCTCACAATGATGAATCTGAGGTAACGTGGCACAAAGACCACTACTGGTAGGCCTATAAAAATGGACCGAAGCACCAAAAACATCAGTCTAGCAAGCAAGACAAGACAGGAAACAGCAGCCAAACCGCTAAAGCAAACGCTCAAGATCAAGAATGAAGCTTTCTGCTGGGACCGTCCTCATCACCGTTGCACTTTTGTCTGAGTGCTACTTTAAAACAGCTGCTATTCCGATGACCAAATCTGAGGAAATCGAGCCAGATCTGCAAAGCTTTAGCGAGTCCTTGGAAGAGAACTCTCTGAGATCTACACCAGGTGGCTCCAGGATCATCGTGGTGGCTGACTCCAATCTCCTGAGGACCCTGACATCTCTGAACAGAGGAGTCCCTCATCTCAACGCACCTGAAAGCCTTCTCAGCACAGAGCGCAGAGAAGTTGGTTCAGACCTGAGTCCGAATTTCGCCATCATCAGAAGGGACACCATGAGGTGCATGGTGGGAAGAGTGTATCGGCCATGCTGGGAGGTGTAGGACTTCTGGGAAGACATGGAAGCGGTTGACGATTCTTTGTTTCTTATCCAGTGTTACTCAGACAAAATATACAACTTGATGCTGTTTATCTGAATTCTATCTTGCAATTAAATGTTGAAAACATTATTCTAAAGTACATGGGTCTGTTCATGTTCTGTTCTGTTCTGTTGTCAGCATTTCTTTCAGATTTTCAAACATTTAATAATGTGATCTGAGGTTATGCTCAATGCTCATATAGCACACATTTCTGACTACAGGTAAAAGCAATAAATAGTTTTGGCTAATATTTAATCAAACATAAAATAGTTTTTTAAATGTTTGATTTATGCAGAAAAAACCATAAGTGTGCCTGCATGCTAAATTGCCATAGTTCATAGCTATTTTCATTTAATTTTCATTTTATTTTCATGGTCTTGAGCCATGTAAAAATATTAACTTTAGACAATAATTTGTGTTTAGTGAAAACAGTTGAATCTTTAGACACTTTAATGAAATTGTGGTGCATATTACAGTATTGTGTGTGCAGTTCCAGTGTACAGTTTTAAGGGGAATGATTTTTTATTCTTTTTAAAATAGTATCCAAGTGCTGTTTAATAGAGAAAAGAGCTTTTCAACACTTCTAAAAAATATAATAGTTTAATTTCTTTTGTCTTTACCAAGATGTCATACAGTACATACTATTTTACTAGTTATTTACTTTTCAGCTTAAAGGTTTAATTAGGTTAGTTAGTTTAACTTGACAAGTTAGGTTAATAAGGCAAGTCATTGAACAGTTTCCAGCGAGCGTTTATTTATTTATTTATTTTTTGTTTTTTAAAAGATGTCTAATAGACATCTAAACATAGTCATGTTGGCTAAAACAAGGCTAAATTTGGGCTGTCAGTGAAAATCTAGTAGACATAAGAAAAGGCAAAACTAGACTAGTCATCAAATAAACAGAAATGAATGACTACACATATAAAGGCTGTCTAATCTGTCAATTTGATGACTAGTCTAGTTTTAAGCTGTTCTTAGATGTCTATTAGATTTTAACCGACAGCCCAAATTTAGCTTTGTTTAAGCCAAGCATTCTACGTTTAGATGTCTATTATATATATAGTTGTATACAATCGTTTCCAACTCACAAATGCTTAATAGATTCTAGTAATCTTGAACGCCTTTCTTATTTTGATCAGCTGTGTTTGATAAGGGTTGGAGCAAAACAATATATTTATAAAGAGTTCAGATGCAAAAACATTTAAATGCCATCTAAAATTTTCTCTTAAAGTTAGCATTTTTCCCATACTCTTGTGTGTAGGTTCAGTAATTTCACATGTTGATAAATAGGGTATTTCCATTGCCTGTAAAGTGAAAAAACTGAACATAAACACAGGAGTTTGAGAAAAATGCTTGTTTTTGAAAGAAATTTCAGATGGCATTTAGAGGTTTTTGAATGTAAACTCTTTGTATAGTTTTGCTCCAACCCTAATCAAACACAGCTGATCAAAATAATCAAGGTGTTCAACTATTAGAAACTATTAAGCAGGTGTGAGTTGGAAGTGGGGTGATGCAGTGGCGCAAAAGGTAGTGCTGTCGCCTCACATCAAGGTGAGGTGGTTCAAGGTCGCTGGTTCAAGCCTCAGCGGGATCAGTTGCCGTTTCTGTGTGGAGTTTGCATGTTCTCCCAGCATTCGCGTGGGTTTCCTCTGGGTGCTCCGTTTACCCACAGTCCAAAGACATGTGGTACAGGTGAATTGCGCAAGCTAAAATGGTTAGTAGTGTATGAGTGTGAATGTTATGTAGTGTGTGTGTGGATGTTTCCCAGAGATGCGTTGCGACTGGAATGACATCCACTGCGTAAAAACGTGCTGAATAAGTTGGCAGTTCATTCCGCTGTGAAGACCTCAGATTAATAAAGTGTCGAAAAGTAAATGAACGAATGAATGAGTTGGAAGTAGTATAACTGTGCAGAGCTGCGGCCCTCCAGGAATTTAGTTTAATACTATAATGTAATTCATATAACTCACTCATGTAAATATATTAATTGCCAAATTAAGCTTTGCATTTAAATACAAATAAATATGCATGAGCTATAATGCAGTTGTGTTTTTGTGCCTTGTTCAATGCATTTAAAGTCACTGAACATAATAATAATGATAGCTCTCATTTTTCCAAGATGAGATGAAATCACACTTTCTCGCACATGAGAAGTGATTACATGCATTCTTTATGAGCTTATACACAACAGAGTTGAAGCCAAAAAAAAAAAAAAACATAACTGTAGCTATGACTTAAGATATCTATGTACTGTATATCACTGCCAATGAATCAACCAAATTTAAAAAATGATAAAAGTTCACTAAGAATAAATCAATAGGCATTGTCTCATTGATTTTAAAAGCATTATAGCTCATGCATATTTATTTTGTATTTAAATGCAAAGTTTATTTGTCAATTAATATAGTTACATTACTGAATTATATGAATTACATTATGGTCTCAAACTCAATTCCTGGAGGGCCGCAGCTTTGCACATATTCCATGTCTCCTTAACCAAACATACCTGATTCAGATCATCAGCTCATTAGCAGAGACAGAAAGACCTGTAATGGGACAGACAAAGCAGACATCTAAAACATCTAGTATTAGTGGTCTTCCAGGTACGTGATTGAGAAACACTAGTAAAATATATAATACATAATATACACTACCTGACAAAGGTCTTGTCGTCCTATTCAAGTTTTAGCTTGGAGGACTGCATCCATATATCTGTGGTGCAACGACTCAAAAAAACTCATTAATAAAGTCATCTGGAATGGCAAAGAAAGTGTTCTTGCAGGACTCCCAGAATTCATCAAGACTCTTTTGATTCATTACCAATGTCTCCTTCTTCATCTTACCCCAGAAATTATCAATAACGTTCAAGTCTGGCGACTGGACTGGCGAATCCTAGAGCACCTTGACCTTCTTTGCTCTCAGAAACTTTGATGTGGAGGCTGAAGTATGAGAAGGAGCGCTATCCTGCTGAAGTAATGTAATGTAATGGGCAGCACAAATGTCTTGATACCTCAAGCTGTAGATGCTGCTATCAAAGCTGCAGATCACTTGCATACCCCAATATTGAATGTAACCCCAAACCATGATTTTTTTCTTCACCAAAATTGACTAATTTCTATGAGAATCTTGAGTCCATGCGGGATCCAATAAGTCTTTTGCAGTATTTGTGATGATTGGGATGCAGATTCATTGGAAAAAATCTATCTTCTGCTATTTTTCCAAATGATCAACTTAAAGTCAAGTTATTATTTGTTGCTCTTACAACAGTAATCGACGACAAGACTTTAGTCAGTGTATAATCTAAGCTCCTAAAATGAATTGTTTGGCCAAAGATGACCACATTTGACTCATTCAGTTGAGAGCCATACATGTCTTTATATCATCTACAATTAAGCGGAGAAGTCAGTTTACGTTATGATTACACTTTGAAGGAAAATGTAAGTCCAAGTTTGTGGCAATAAGTGAATTGAATTTACACAGTGTTTCAAATTGCAAAACTTTTCACATATAACCTAAAAAATCAACAACAATGTATAAGAAAACAATGAGCACTCTCTCTGTGAGTACATCTTATTCCATACAACAAAAACAAAATTAACCTTTGCCAGTGCCCCTTCATACTTCATTAACAGGAATGTATTATTCTTACTGGCAGCATTTGTTCCGCCTTTCCCTTCCCTCACAAGCTCTTAGCTAACTGCTTTAACCTTATGGCTTTGATTAGTGCCACACTTCTGTCCCTCCAATTACTTTTCCTTCCGCCCTCTCAACTGTTTAGTTGATATGTGACCCATTTAATTTGTGCTTCCTGTCTCCTGTCATTGGTTAGCGGTCAAACACAACAGTGAGGAATATTATGTCTCCTTTGATTACCTCTGTTAATAGCAGTTTATGTTTAATAAATGATAACAACAAAGGCAGATTAAATATGAACAACAACAACTAATATAATACTAGTAAAGGCTTTTTACATGTTTCAGTGATGCTGTGCAATTTTGCAATAAAGTCCCAAAGAATATATATTGTTCATCTGGTCAAAACACAAACAGTGTTCAAATAATAAAGGATATTGACAGATCTAACTTTAATATTGTCTTCTAAATTGTAAGGAATGGAGAGTTTTTAAAATGAAAATTGCATATAAAGATGTGATGTAATGAAGCTTGGCAGCAAAGATGAAGTTACATGTGCAGCTTTTATTATAAAAAATGGTCAGCAGGCAGGGCTTACAACAGGAGCAAAACAATACATTAAAGTTAATCAAAGTATAATCTACAGAACAGGCAAAGGTCAGGGCAGCAAGCAAACAATCATAAAACCAGAAATAGTTCAAGGATCAAAGTGGCTAGAAAATAAGAAACACTAGGAGTCTATGAAAGAAATACACAATATCCCACAATAAAGCAGTGAGTGTGGTGTTTATACAGTGTATGTAATGTGTCACTGATCAGCAGCTGTGTATGTGTCAGTGTCCAGATTAGGAAACTGTTTCAGCTGTGAGCTGCAAAGCACAACGGGATGTGTAGTCCAGGTGAATGGAATTGGTAAATAGGTGGGTACTTCAGCTAACCGTAACAATTTGCATTTTGCCACACATAATATGAATGTGTACAGGATATTTAGACACTTGTGTGACGTATGAACTATACCTTTATAGCAATATCAATGTACTTTTAAGCATGTGTTATACATTTTTCTATAAGAATATATCATATATATTTATTAATACACAACATTCTTACTTACTCCCAGGGCTGTTTATATTGAAGCTGATGTTTAGCTGCAACAAGTTGGTGTAATACACAACATACACTCATCAAAAATATAAATGCAACACTTATGTTTTCTGTTTAATTATTATATTTTTTTTTAATTCAAAGAACTTAATCATTTCTATGTACACAAAACACTATTCACTTCTTGCTGATAAGACAGCATGGTTATTGTACATGTGTGCTTTAGGTTGTCTATAAAAGGGTACTCTAAAATATGCAGTTTTCTCACTCAGCACAATGTTGAAAATATTAAGGGGAGAGCACAATTGGAATGCTGACTGCAGAAATGTTAAATAGAGCTGTAGGGGTCTT